TATTTATTAAAATTTTTTAGTGTGTCAAAAAGGACACTTTATTCATATCATGTGAGATTTGAACTAGTTTCGGACCTAGTCCTACTAGTCCCGGTGCAGACCCGGTCCGAACTAGTTCCCCGTGGACCATTTAACATCCCTAATGCTAGGTCTAGCCGGGTATCTAATCTTGAACGACTAGCTCAATATGCCGCATTGAATCATGATGCACCATTTATATATGCCAAAATTAATATGACAGTACAAACTTTCACTGCACAAATAATTATAGAATACCATATCCTATTGTGGTAACTGTTGATCATGTTTACCTAGCGCTAACGCTAACGCTAGATTATTAATATTATTTATTCAGTAGTACAAATGTGAAAAAATGGATAGATAAATTTAAGTTATTCCACTTGCTATTGTACAGAAAGTAAATTTTATCGCGAAACATTTCACCTGAACACGATGTACGACGATTAATAGAGAATTAAAATAAGATTTTCTGGTTCTTCAATATCGCAAAACATTTCACAGAAGCACAATGTAAAACGATTGATGGTAAATTTTAAATTTAATTTGGAAATACTATATCTGAAATGTTGAAATGCTGGAAAAATGATGAAACAATAATTTGGCGCATCATTTTTTCATATGTAGTTAATAATTTTTCAATATTTTACCTGATTCAATTTGTTGTTCAGCAATATAAAGTAATTTATTTGGTTTTATTATGTTTGGATGAATAATTTTAATTCAAACATCGTACCTTTATAAATTTGACAGGTATAGCTCAATTAAAATTAATTGTTTTAATTTCAGAACTTACGATTGAACAAGTTTATCATTTATATAATGATAAGAAAATATAAATATATTCATCTTTCAACTCACATTATTAATGATTAAAAATATGTTGACATCTGAAAGCAATCACGATCAAGTTAGAAGATTATATAGGACTGCAACTAATAATTTCAAACAACAAGAGTACAAAGCTTCTTATAATTCTTTTGATTCTATTGCTAACTATTATAAAAAAAGCAAATTTACATATGATGCGAAGTATTGGTTGGCAAAACACTTTGAAAATGGGTTTGGCATTTTATTATTTCAAATAAACTCAATAAACGTAATATTTATTACAGTCAGAAAGTATTATTATTACGATTTTTCTAAGTATTTGGAATATTCCCTTTTAAAAGATTATAATATTCCTCCAATTTATGCAATAGCACAAAATTTTTATTATTGATCTTTTTGTTACTATTTGGATTACTCATGTTTTCTTCAATAATTTTCTTGTGTTCTGGATTCAGAATTATGAAATTTTTTGCTCAAATAAATAATCAGAGTTGCAGTTGAATTTTTGCATGGCACCTTGCTCAAGGAACAGAATTGGATTTTAACAACGACCAATGCACAAATAATTTCTTCTCAGAGTTGACAAACTACAAAACAATCATTTAGCATCATGCTTGATAATGGATAAAACTATTTTCTAGTTTTTGATTCAAAATTTATTAATTAAAGACGCTCCAATTAGTTGTATTATTTATTTAATTATTTGAGATTGTTAAAAAATTCTAATCAACAAAATTCAATTAATAAAGTTTATTTAATCGTAAAATGAAAAAAAATGTAGAAAATAAAGTTTATTTTTCAATCGGTTTTTTCTACTTTAAAAAGGAATTTTTTAATATCTACTTTAGTAATTTTGTATAAAAAGTTTTTTAAGATTCCTTCCCTCTCGTATTTCAGCAAGCATTCTATCAAATCAATCATGCTTTTAAAAAAAAAGAATAAACCCGAAAATAAAAATAGGGTTGAGAAAAAAGAAGACTACTATTCGAAAGTGACTAATTTATTAAAAGCCAATGATTTCGATGTAGAAACTTTGGAAAGATTCCCCAAGTATTCTAATGTTAAGGTCTCTTTCAAAGAATACTTCTATTATCTCATAATATGGCATGATAGAATTAAAGATAAACAACATTATCTAGATTTTTATGAAATTCAATTTTATATAGATAATATGCGTCCTAATATCCTACACACAATAGTGATGGCGGTGCCAAAGATGATCATTTAATTGTATGTCAATCATTAGGCATTAGATATGATTACATAGAAAAATATGAGCAAAAAACTAAAAAATTTCTTCAGTTTTATCATTGCGAAGAAAATGATTGGATTATTAAACATATAATAGAATATTTTTCCGAGCAATATACAATGTCTAAAAATATAACAAACGCAGCATCGTTTGTAGATTACATGAGAAATAATTTGAAAAAAATTACAAAATTTGATTATTGTTATAAAAAGTATGCAGTTTAGAGTTAAAATTTTAGATTTATTATTCTTTGGGTTTAGTGGTAGAACCACTGGTTGCAAATTTACTTCTGACAAAAAACTATGTGAAATTGTTGACCAGGAAATTAATTTATTAGAGTATGCGAATGAAAAAATTATGGTTTGAATTTTAAAGTACTTTTTTAATTTAGAAATAAAGAAAAACTTCTTTAATTGAATGATAACCCGACTTTTAAATTCACGGATAGAAAACGAATAATTTAAATTTTCCCAACAGATTTTAGTTTTAAAAATCATTGATTATTTAATGCATATATACAGACATTTTCGTCGTAATTATTTAAGATGCTACAATCCATAATAATGTCTGAATTATTTGATTAAAAAATAACCTTCTTTAGATATTCTAGAGGCGTTCACATTTCATCTTATCTTTATCTTTCTGTTTAAATTTTTTTTTTTTTTTTATTTAATAAAAAATACAAAGTTAAAAAAAAACCAAAAATTTATTCGTCTTGAACTATCTAGCTCACATAAAATATAAACATACAAATAAATTAATTTTTCTTTTGAATTGGACCACATCCACCACAAGTACAATCACTACAATAATAATATAGAGTACCTTTAAAACATGAAGGGCAAGAGCAACGTTGGCAAGATGCAGAAGCAAAACAGCCATTACAATCACAATTATTACATAGATTTAATGGATTTGTAAATGTACAACTTTTACATCCACATGATGAGTATTGACCATCTCGTTTTACTACTGCAGTATTACAAGTAGGTTGTGAATTACAGGAATCGCTTACACCATAATCACAAACCATTGTACCACCATTATTACATTCATAAAGATGAGTTGAATTACAACCTACAACAGATAAAATTAAAAAATGATTAATTAATGAGCTATTTAAAATCAGCATTATTTTTATAATATAATTGGACAAATTCTTATAAGTTTTATAATAGAGTAGAATCTGGTATTAGCAAAAAGTAAAGTCTCTTTAACTTTTAATAAAGCTGAAGAAGGGTTAACTTAGTAAAAAGACTTTACTTTGGGCTAATACCAGATTCTACTTTATTATGAAATGCCTAATTCTTATTATAATACTAATATAGTAATAGTGCTGATTTTATCTGATTTCAAATTTTAGTATGTTTTGTTTATGTTTTATTTGATCTTATACATACCAATCATACCAGAAGCACCTCCACAATATTGACCTGCTGTAGCAAATGAAGGACATTTACATGTTGTTGTATAATCACAAGCAGAAAAAACATAAGAAACGAAAAATAATAAATAGTAAACAAGGTAAAGCACAAGTTGATTCGAAATACCACTAAAAAAATATAATAATTAGATAACTCTATATATAATTTATTAATAGTAAAAAAAAAAAACATACTCTTAGAAATACAAAAAACGATGAGTCAAGACTGATCAAATTTTCTAAAATCAATTTATTGTTATATGATTTTGTGTCTCCTCGTGAGCTTCCACAATGCTCATTTTAACCAAAAGGAAATCGCCCGTTGAAACATTTTGTGTTGTATTACAATTTATACAATTATATGATTACATAATCAAAAATAGCTCAAATATGTTTTCATAACCATCTACGGACAGTGCTTAATCTTAATGTTAAGGACTGCAAAATTCATATTGATTTTCCGCCGTGGATCTGTAAAATCTTAAGTGTAGATTACCAATAAAAATATATAAACACTCTTTTATTTACTTCCGAAATATATTTCGTAAATAAGTACATTTTTTCTAGAGATACTAAAAATATTTCTAGACATATCGGCGGATTTTCGGAATTGGTTTACATGGGTTTGTAAAACAACACCAAAAAATACGATGCAAATTTTTTAATAACTTAGGGTGGGTTCGTTTTACAAACCCATGTAAGCTCAATTCTGAAAATCCTCCGATATGAATATATAGTAAGCGTTCCTTCAAAAAAGAAAAATAAACTATTTAGTATAGCACATTTCTCATCTATAAACTACTTCAAGACCAGATGAAAAATCAAAATTTGAGATCACATAAATACTAAAAAATCGGCAAAAAAAAAGCCTTTTATTGAATAAAAAAGAAAACTATAAATATTCACTTTGACATAAAAACAATTAAAGAATATAGGCTTTTCATTTATTCACTTTGATGATATCTTTTTCGAGGACATCTAATATCAAACAATAATTAATTAAAATGCTTTCCTAAAAAATTATTAGATTAAAAACTTACTATATCTTGTTTGAGTGGAATTCTCTTCAATAACATATTGTTGATTTGTTTGCGTTGGTTCACTAATAACTTTGCCATTCTTAAGTTGGCCGTCCTGACGGAATGTGACAGGGTCTATAAAGGTAGTTTAATTGTCAAATTATTTGCGTAATTTTTATGTGAAAAGAATGAATGGAAAATATACCATTCACGTAAGCTTGAACCATTTTTTTGATGAAATAAAAAAAAAGAATACTGAATGTGACGTATCGGTATGAACTACCAGATAAATATTTTTAGAAAAGCTTTCCATATTGAGAAACAATAACAGCTTGCGCATTTTGTATCACAACAATTTTTTAGTACCGGTGCGTATGTTGAGGATTAATTGTAACATAGCGATAGCGATAGAGAAACAATTAGGCAAATTGACATTTAAAAAAAAATCAATGCCTTAACTTTCACAGCTCATATCTTGATGATTTAATACAAATCTATGCATAAATTTGGGCTGAATTAAATTATAATTTGAGCCAAATTGAAAATTTGGGTTGAATTTTGGCAGAATTAGAAACAATAATAACAAAGTTCACAAAATAATTTCGAACGAACATTGACTTTTACGCAATAAAAATTTTTCATAATAAAAATTTTAAATTTTATCGTTATAATATCTTACACAAAATAAATTTTAATATCTTAAAAGGGTTACAAGATCTCAGATTTTAAACAGCGATTACGTAAGCTAGCTAGTTGCCTTCGGAGAACAAACTATAATCTCACGGACCCATGGGTCCGTGAAATCATGTGATATTATTTATTTTCAACAAATGTCATCGGAATTAATAAATTTTTATTCAGTTCTGATTTCATACATTTTTGGTAGAATTAATTCGTAACTCTGGTATAACCCATCCTAAAATAGCCGAGTATTTCAACAAACGGTAAAAGTACTTCTTTCTACAGCTTAGCATAGCTCTTTTATTGATTTTTAAACTTGTCTAGACGTCTAAAAAGCTCCTTTACTTTGGAATAAACGTGATTTATTCAATAGGTTACGTTAATTTGTTGTGACTTCGAATTTCCATTTTAATCAAATATGCTCTAAATTTTATGATTGGCTACATTTTTGTTATGATCTCGAATTTCCATTTTAATCAAATACACTCTAAATTCTGTAATTGGACAAAAACAAATTTTCTGGTATCTTGGGTAGTAGTGTGACCATAAACTTAATAGATAATATTCAGTATCGGTATGAAATGTGCAATGAAATAGAAAATTGATCAAACTTTTCTATTTAACATTAATTGATGATTGTTTAATTACTAATTAAAATAGATGAATTGTGTTAATTAGTAATATTAAATAGATAAAATTCATGGTGCTGATTGTAATTATGTGATCGTAAACTAATACAGTAATATACCGCATAGCCACGAAATAACGCGCAGGGGTTTAATTCAATTTTCGGCCTAAATTAGGCTTAATTCGGGCCAAAATTCAAAATAACCCCTTGTGCGTTATATGAATTTGAAACATAGAACTAGATTGGTCTTTGAGGTTTTAAAATAATCCAAACTGCTTGGTTTATATAACTAATTTAAACAACAAGTTCAAACTTGATCGTGCTATTTATATTTAACATAAAGAGAGAAATTTTCAGGAAAAAAAATAGATATCATCTCTTGCATAAGAGTTTATACCCAAACCGATCAAAACTAACCTATCAAGTCGTTTCTGCTATGAAAAAGTCTTTTTAAAGCCTTTAAAAAATTGTCCCAATTTTTTCAATATTTAAAGCTATAAGTCCTACCAAAATTACAAATCCAAAACATAATCAAAATTGTCCCAATTTTGGCCACAATGTAAATCAATATTTTATGTTATCATTTTTCCGGGTTCTGCTCTTGCTGTTTAAACTGATAACATGATTTGATACCCATGAATAGGCCTGTAACGTAAAAAGTAATAATGTAGTTGAAAGGTAATAACGTTCTTCTGGCAAAGAGCATTGAAAGAAATATTTAATTCAGAATCACCACCTAATAAAAGCTGTTTATATAATAAATGCTATATATATAGTAAAAAGATATAAAATATATGTTAAAAGACTATAAACTTGAATTTATATTTTATTTATTCTCAATTAATTTTATTAATTACTATACACTATCAACAATCAAATTTACCGAATTATTATCAATTGTTAAATTGACAATTGTCTTCCGAATGAAAATTAATTTTTTTATCATTCGAAAAATAATTTATTACACAATTACACAATCTATCAGAGGGAAATGAATATTTGAATTGCCGTTAATAAAAGCTATTCATACTACAAAGTATATAAGCAAAGATTAGAAGACCTAACGAGAAGCTTTATTTAATCTTATTAACGAATATTTCATTTGTCAGAAAAGAAATCGTAATTTTTGATTAATCTTAGATGTGACACTACGTTTTAATCTCTTAAAAAGTTTATAAGCTCATATCTCATTGCTTCGTATTACTATTATATTTTACTGACAGTATGTGTCTGTCTTTAGGATAATAAATTATAAATTATAAATAAAATAGATTAGCGATGTAAACCTTCTGAAAATACTGTTATTTATCAAATTTATAGATTGCAAATTTTATATACGGTTCGCATCACTACCTGACAGACCAACTTTGAAGCTCTATATCTTATATCAAAATGATAGAGTTTAATCATTTGAAAAATTATGAATTATATTGAATCTTAAAATTATTTTTATTTTAACACAAAGTGACTAAATTTATTAAGTAATAATGGTTACGGTTTTACAAAAGGTATTGATTATTGCAATACAACAAATATTTTGAATAGTATATAGCACTGCATATTGTGTAACATATCTTCTGCTGATAAGGTTATATGTTTGATTTTGTGTTTTTTTTTCTTTTAGGTTTTAATTATTTATTCAAAATTATGTCTGGGAATCCTGCAATTTCAGGAGGAAATAGTACACCAAATAGGAATTCTGAAATTTCTTTAGAATTAAAAAAAATTTTAAATGGTTTGAGTAGAAATCAAAAAATATTTTATGATTCTTCTAACGACAAAATTAATTTTTTAAAAGCAATTCGGGAGGAGCGTAAAAAATGGGTATGTTCATATATATGTGTTTGATATTTGTTGAGATTATCATATTAATGTCTTTCTTTTTTGTAAATAGAAGTTAGCTATAGACGCTTCTTTTACTGTACTCAGTATTCTTGTGACAATCGCTATTAATGCTGTTGCTAAAATCTTTAATAATGATGAATATATAAATAAATTTGTTCTGATTCTAAACTGTATTGTCTTTGGAATTCAAGCTTTCACAATAATAAGTGTACCTGTAAATGAAGGTATATTTGATAATAAAACCTGGACTCGAGTAATGTGGATTTTAATTCCAACAATTATTGGAATATTGTTGGCAATATTTCTAGGCATTTATGTTCTCCCTGCATCTGTCACAATCTCCTGGATTGTAGTTGGTGTATTAGGCTCTAATCTTTTTCTTCAAGCATTTGAATATTTTTTAGAATGAATATTTAATTAAAATTTTTTTTATTTTATTTAAAAATTTACCATATTTATTCAAAGAAATATAAAATATCTACATAATAACTAAATTAATAAAACTTATTATTAAATAAAAACAAATATTTGATTGATTTACGTTGGCTGCTCAAGAATATGTGAACCAGGTGTACTAATTGAGTAATTATCTTCTGACAGGTAAATATAATCAAGACTAAGATTAGAACACATAATGCCAATTAATACCCAAGAAACTGATATAGTAGGTGGAATAAAAAAGGCGCCCAAAAAAATTGCTAGTAATACACTTAAAATTATTAAAATTAAATTTAATATTAAAACATTAGTAATTGTAATTGAGCTTAATATTATAAATAGGGTTTGTATTCCGAAGACGGAACAATTAAGAGACAAAATTAACGTATTTATAATATCAATTTTTGATATTTTAGCAGCAACATTATGACCGACAGTAACTGCCATGCATAATATAGCGACTGCAAATTTAACTTTGGCACGATAAAACGGTTCAAAAGATCTATATCGGTATGTTATGGCAATATTCGAGAATATTAAACCAACAAATATCCAAGTGATAGTAAGAACATAAATGCCTAAAAATATAGCTAATAATGTCCCTATAAGTAACGGAAATAAAAGTAAAAATGAAGTAAATATTCTATTACTATATAACACTTCATATGTAGCCTTAATTAATGTATTTAATGCTAAGCTTCCGAAGATAATGCAATTAAGTAATAAAATAAAAAAATCTTTTGCTATATATTCATCATTAATTAACTTTACGGTAACGTCAATGGCAATTGTGATAATAATAATGACTATAGTGAGGATAACATTTATTCTGAATCTCTATTATATAAATTATTGAAGAATTGTGGTTAAAATTTCATGAATTCGTATTATAGCAATATTTTTTTAATACACTTACCCATTTTAATCTTTCTTCTGTAAGCGCTTCTGCAAAAGATATATGATCTTGAGTATTATTGTATACCTCAGCTTGTATTGGATTTAATGTTCATTTAAGATATTCAAGAACATAATTTGTGGACATATTAGTGTCAAAGTTTTAATGAAGCACATTTGTTTAAAGGGCATTTTTTAGAATATTCTTTAGTTTCACAATTATATTGTGAAATATGAAAGACTAATTTAGTAATTAATTTGAATTATTGTCTTTTATCGTACAAATTTTAAACTAGAAAAGATTGGCGTGTCGAAAGAATTCGGTTTCTCAAAAAATAATCGATGTATTTGATAAGATTGATAAGTCAGAAATCAATATTACTGCATAAAAGATCAAGTTTAACGAGTTTTTGGAGGTAATTGTTTGAATATTATAAATACCATTTTTTTTTTAAAAAAAAAAAAAAAAAATTAATATTAAATTCGGTATAAGGAACTCTACATTTTAAGTACGACGATATCAAAACAACAATTTAATTTAATATTCTCTGCAAAAACAATAAGTTAGCTACTTTAGATCTTTACCTTACAAAATAAAATTAACTAGAATAGTAATAAAAAAATGATTTTGGGTCAAAATCCCGAACAACAGATTATCGAAAGAACATAACACCGACCAAATTGGCCAGCATTATAGCTAGTGCCGGCTAACTTTGTCGGTATTATGTTCTTTCGGGAATCTGTTTTTCGGGATTTTGACCCAAATTCATAAAAAATACTGTATTAGCATAACAAATTAGAATTATAATATAAAAAATTTTTGCTTTAGGCATATTTTGTATAACATATTAGTACAGTCACACCCCCTCTCCTAAGTGCACACCCCTAAGTGCAAGTACTATGTAAAGCCTCTTTAAATGCACGATTCAGTTTGGCCCAACTTATAAGAGCTCTATATATTTTAATCTCTTCATTGCGTTGATGTCTTGAGATTTGGGAATACAAATTTTGGTAAAAAAGGAATTGATGAATTCTTTATTTCATCTCATACTTGTAATAGTGTTTGCAAAAAATTAAATTTATCTTCTATCTAAGATTAAATTTTTATTTTTTTATTAGCTTTTTCATAAATTATATATATGTAATATTTTTTTTTTAAATAAAAAGAAAAATACAATTCTTTATTCAATGCTTTACTTTGTCACTATAAATAAATCAATTATTTTATGCTACTTTTTATATGATAAAATTATTATAGTAAATTTCTTATTGATTGGCTGCAATGAAGTAATGACTTGGTTCAAATGAGTTTGTTGTGCTGTGTAAAAGTTACGGTTTGATTTATTAACTATCAAAATTAAAAAAGGTAACTTTGAACTTTCTGTCTCATGAATGCAGAAAAATTCAAAGTTACTATAGAATACGCTTCTCTCCAGGACAATACGTACATGAATCGAATAATTTAAAGATAAAAATTGAATTTTAAAGTTTTATTTCAATACAAATCAAAAATAATTTAATACTGTATTGCACATAATTATTGTCACAAACAATTTTTATATATACGCATTATTAACTGTTAGTGTACGCCGGTGCATTTTGTGCACCTTATTTTAGAATTAGTTAAGGTTAGGTTTAGATCTAAGATATATAATTACTTTCGACCTAATTTTATTACTAAATGAGTTAAAGTAAGTTTTGCTGATGCTGTATGTTACTATTTCATTATGATTATTTCATATTAATTGAATAATTAGAGTAAGCATAAAGGAATGATGACTCTCTTTTCGCCCTCAAGATACCGTATTTGCGCGTAATAATAGGCCGGGCGTTATTTTGAATCATGGCCCGGATTAAGCTTAATTTAGGCCGAGATTCGAAATTACACCTTTGCGCGTCATTACGCACAAATACGGTAATGAGTGTATTTTCATATTCATTTGTCCTTAATTGTACCCTTTTTTTTTTTTTATCTTTTTTAACATTGGCCCTTTTCATAGTAATTTGATAATGATAAATAATTTGAAATTTATAAATGTTAACTATAAAGATCACCCACCTGTTAAAAAGTAAGTAATAATACGTATATAAGAGAGCAATAAAATGGACATATAAAATCAAAGTCTTTCTAAACATTTCGTGCATATTTCTATTCCATGTTTTAACGACTACTTGCTAATTATTATTTGTTCATCAGCTTGTATTCCATTTACAAGTTTTCATCTCCCGGAATAAATGAGCTGTATACTACGAATAATATTGTCAGAATTTCTAGAAAAAACACTTCAATTTCCTGACATTAATTTATAATTTTTTTATACTTGAACTTTGTTAAATGTATGTTTTGCTTATAAATTAATGGTATTAACAGTGCAGTGTTTCAATTAGTTAATTGTGTCAGCAAGTGAAAACATCATATGAGTGACGGGATATGAAAACCTGTAAATCATTTCACTCATTGTCATTGCTACCCCTATAAGAATTAGAGAGAGGTACATATCACTGCAATGATAATGGATAAAATAATTTACAGGTTTTCATATCCCGTCACTCATATGTATTAGCAAATTGTATTAAAAGGTACAAGATGAGTGATGCTAAAGAAAACCAGAATTCGAGCTTATTATTTTTTATTTACCAAGCTACCTCAACAGATGCACATATGGGCTGCCGTCAATAGAAATAAGGCAGATTGACATTTTAAAAAAATTAATACCTTAATTTTCACAGCTCATATCTCGATGGATTTTGAGGGTATCTTGATGATTTATCATTCAAAAGAAGCATACGATCTAAACTTTCTTTTGAATATTAAATTATCAAGATAGCCTCAAAATTCATCGAGATATGGGCTGTGAAAGCTGAGGCATTAATTTTTTTTTAAAATGTCAATCTGCCTTATTTCTATTGACGGCAGCCCATATGATGCGTGTGTAATTTATTTATTATTTACTTACATATCATACTATCTTCGATCAGTGAGTTCAGTAAATAACAAATGATAAATTTTTCCTAGGCATCACTCAATCATATTTATCTTCAGTAAATAATAAATGAAACTTCCCTTAGCGTCATTCAATCATTGTTCATGTAACTATGATTGAAATCAAAAAGTGTTAAAAAATATAAGGCATAACAGGATATTTCAGATTCTAACGATGAAGATAGTCAAAATATAAGGAAATTTTCAAAGAAAAAGACAATGAATCGCAATAAGAAATGTGAGACTTCATCGGATCCTTTAGGTATTATTATTATATCAAGTTTTGGCTAATTTATGTATATAATTTAAAATTTTTACTTATAAGAAAGTATGTGAAAATTATAGAAAAATCAACTTCACATAATGATAGTTCTATCGATGATTCCATTGAAGATATTCCTGTTGTTGTTATAGAAGAGGATGAACGCTTTAGTAATAGACAGGTAAACTCTACTATGATAAC